AAAACCCTCCAAAAAAAAAAAAAAAAAAAAAAAAAAAAAGAACTGGGTAGTGTCTTAGCCGCTTCAGCTTCTTTTCCGACCAGTAAATAAAGTGTTCTATTCAAGGACAGCTTATAGATGAGTATAAGAAATCACTCAATTAAGAAATCACTCAGTGAGGCTTCAAGAGTGCCGTACTTACCAACTGTATTAATAGGTAAATGCAATGCTATTTCTTCCTTCTTAAAAATAAAGCTTATTTATTTCTTATATGAGTGAGAGAGACCAAGGGATAAAGAGAATGAGACAGCACCCCCAACAGGATCTTGACACTGTGATCCACCTCTAGCCTCAGCCAGTCCCAGATCATGGACATGTGAATGCCAGGTATACTCAGGTGTGTGTGTGTGTGTGTGTGTGTGTGTGTGTCGGGGGAGGAGGGCCTTCGGACACCAACGCATTTGGGATAGACTTGCAGAGTGTCATGTTTTACCACTGCACTGCCATCTGATCCTTTTTCTTCTATTTTTATTTTTTTAAACTTTATTGATTAAAGTATCAATATGCCAACAGGAGAAAATTTGGGCAGGCTAGAAAACAAAGGATGATGGCCCAGGCTCTGTGGCACACTGGACTGCAGAGCTGAAAGCCACATGCTGACCATGGTTCAAGTCCCTGCTCTGATCAACCTGGAAACACTCCAGGTGTGCACATGCCTGGGATCTTAGAGGGCTGGAGGGCTGGAGCGCTGAAGGAATGGGGTCGAGGGGTGATTAAGCCCCGTGGAGGATGCTTCTCTCTCTCTCTCTCTCTCTTTCTTATGCACATGAGTGACATAAAAAAGTTGGAAGAAACAATCTGTTATATAACACTACATAGCACTGCACAATTCTAGTTATAGCTACACTGTTTATACTGCCTATTGCTCTAGACATGTCACACATGCTCATAGACTGATCTTATTAGTGGTACTTCTTAATGATATTCAGCGTTAGCAGCTCCCAACCATTTACATGGAGGGTGCTGGGTCAACAGCACCCTCAATGTTAGCAGCAAGCTGCTAAATATCATGGCTACCACCAAAGCCAGACCACCAAAGCCAGCACAGGTTTTTGGTTTTGAGACCTAAAAGAAATCAGCCTAAAAATGAGAATGTAACTGAAAGTTTTAGATGCAAATTATAGTATTGTTTAAACTATTGTTTAATGTCCACTGTGGTGCGACCTTGTTGAACAAAGGAAGGATGCTGAGAATTTAGGGCAAGCCATCTTTTCTGAACCTTTTACCAGAGTCCAGAGAAGAGGAGACTCGCTTCCACAGTCCCTACAATGGATGAGGTCTGGATGCCCTTGAAACCAGGTCTGGATGGACTGAAGCTTCACTGCGGTAGTCACGCCATTCTCTCTACCTGCAATGGCCTCCTTCCCTCAGGAAAACTCCACCCATCTTCCCCGGCTCATTTCTATCATGGTCTCTGGGAAGTCCTTCCCTTTTCCCACCTCCTCTAGTAGAACTAATTCCAGGCTCTGTTATGCACTCTGAATAATCTATGGGTTATAGTACTGGGTGATTTACTTGTCTTCCTTTACTTGTGTTGCGTGGGCCCCCACACTCCCTCCCCCTACCTGCCTCACGCCAGAAGAAGAGAATTTTTTTACTACTTTCCTTTACATCTCAGGGCCTGACTTGTGGCCATTTAGTAAGAGTTCGAGAGACCAGCAGATGGCGTAATGGTTTCTTTTTTTTGACTCCCACTCAGTTGATGGTGGTTTGAATCCTGGACCTGGCGGCTTCAAACTCAGGCAGGGCACATGTGCATGTATGCCCAAAATTCTGAGAGAAGAATAGAGGATGAGCGACTGCAGTGTGGCCATCTCCCCAGGGGGTAATTTCTTGCTTTCTTTCTCTGTGTTTCTCCGGCCAGTGCACATGCCATATGGCAAAATCTCTCTTAAAAAAAAAGTTTGATCAATGGATAGATGAATGGATGAATGAGGATAATTAGAAGCCAACATTTCTGAATTTCCCTAGCACTTGGCACAGGGCCTAACATAAAGGAAATGCTCACTATATATTTTTGAGGCAGAATGAATGGATTTAACACCTAAGTGAAAATCATTATACTTGCAAACCCGGTCCATGTTGCAATTTACTTATAGAACAGAAATGATAGTGTAACAGCCTATTAATCTTTCATGTAAACTTCCATAACCATAACCACCCCTATCAATAAAGTCTGACTTTCTAGAAAGAAGCAAATGACTACTGAAATCATGGTACTGTACCTTGACCGAAATGTCATATGTTAGGAAAAAAAAGTTCAATAGGTCAATGAAATAGCATTAGTATATTCTTCAACAGGAAAATAAATCATTGTGTACTGAGCTCTTGAAGTTGCTGTGAAGGGACCAGCAGTTAGCATAATGGCTATGTCGCTGGACTTCCATGTAGTCGACTGTGGTTCTGGTCCTGGGCCCGGCGGCTTAAACTTATGTTGGGCGCATGTGCATGCGTGCCCAAGATCCCGAGAGGAGAATGGAGGAGAAGGGATTGTGGTGTGGCCATTC